AGCGGGGTGTGCGCCGCCCCCGCGTGCGGGTGCTCGGGGGAGGCTGTTGTTACGTCGGCTTGCGGGGCCCGGAGCCCCCCGGTTTCCGAGCGAGGGAGGACGGGGTGGGTGTCCGGCCGGCAGTTGGGAAGATTGGCGTTGTTTCTGCGCTCGCGGGGAAAGTGAACTTTCGGGAAACGGGGCGGCGACGCACTTCCTACCCCGAGACACGTGGTTTTCGGTGCAGCTCCTTCCTCTTCGCGGAGGGCGCTGGAGCAGCCGAGCAGCCTGCAGGCTCGGGCTTTGTGAAGGCTCCTGGGTAACGATTGCCCGTTTCAGAATACCGAACAGTCGCGCAGGGGCCGCGTTCAGAACAAAATGGGAGGGCATCGTCGGAGTTGCTGGCTGTTTGGGTCGCCGGCACCGCTAGGTCTTCACGGCTGCCCCTGGCATGACGGTGTTTTCCTGCGGGGTGTGCTAACACGTTCGTAGGCCCCCTGGCTTGGAAGCTTTCTGTCCATGCGAACGCCGTTTGGGCGTGCAGAACCAAGGTCATCACAGGAACAGAAATTATTCAATGCAGATATTCCCAGGCTTGGCTGGGTTTTGTTTTGTTTTGTTTTTTGGCATGCAGAAATTCACGCTGCCCATTTCTTAGCTGAGAAAGCTGTCACCAATTGCCTCGTCCCTCCACTAGCACCACCTCCACCTCTCCCTCCCCGCCAGCCTTCTGTCCTCAGCGGCTTTCCAACACCTACCTTGCTGCTTACTAGCACTCCCAGGGGTGGTGGCCAGAAGTTCCGGCCCTGCACCACCTCTATGCCGGCCTTTGCTCCCAGATTTCACTGTAAGGGAAGAAGTATGAGAATATCTGACTCGTGCTGTGCAGACAGGGAGAGAGACTGGTCTGCTCTCCCTTCACTGTCATTCTTGACATCTCCTTTCCCTGGAAGTAGGAGTGCCCAGGTTGAGTTACATTGTGTTTTATACGGTTTGGGGAGCGTAACCTTTGAAGTGTTTATTCTGAAAGATCCTCAATTTTAATGCCTCTGTGGAAAATAGTAGACTAAGCCCATGGGTTGGAAAGGTGTCATTATGTAACTGAAAGTAGCGTTGAAGGTGGTCACCGCCCAGTGTGAGGTGATGCCCTTGGGAAGTTAAGAGAGAGAAGGAGCCAGGTTTAACTTTAAAACTGGCTGAAGGTGGAAGGGAAACACGAACAGACTTCTTAGGTCGACTTTCCTCACCTGTAAACTTGTAAACTTTTGACCTTTCTTGTGCAATTCTAAGCTTTTTAAAATATTTTCCCTGTGCCTTTTAAGAGCTCGTCATTAGGAGGATTTTTACTAGTTATGTTAGTGAAAAGTAGATTAAATAATGAATAGATCACTTGTGTTTCGTTTTGGTAACATCATTTGCTCAGTCTTAGGAAGCTTTTGAAGACGGTACCATGCTGAAATGACTGTATATGGAGAACTGGGAAGTCAACATTAGTAAAGACAGTTTGGAACTTGAATTGACTTGTTTGATGTTGGTGTAGTAAAAAATATATTCTGTGTTAAAAGAGTTAAATAGATGAATTTTTTGTCTTTGATGCCATGAACTCAAGCTTTTTTCTGTGGCTTCTTCATAGAATGTATCCATATTTCAACAAGAGAATCACAAAATTAGGAACTTCTTCCAGTATAAAATTCAGTTTTAAAAGAAGTTACATTATTTTTAACTCTATGCTTTCATAAATGCTCTCTTTGGAAAGGAAATTGCAAAGTTAATGGCATTTTCATTGTAGTACTGAAGGAAAACTATCTTTCATATTCAGAATTTATGAGGTGTTGTTTATAATTTGGTAGCTACTCTGACCACAAAGTTGCATCAAAGGAGGACCACTACCAGTGCCTTAATTTTTAATGCCATGTCTTCTAAGGAAAAGAAGAACTAAGTGTAGGGCCTAGAGTAGGAACAGTTCATTCAGGAGCTTGAGTATTTCCGCTGGACCATTTAGTCTCAGCAGTACATTTTAAAAAGCAGGGATTGTGCCAGGAGTTTAGCCCCGCCAGCTGGGCAGACAGCATTGCCAGGGAGGGTGGACCAACAGGTGAGGTAGGTAGGGTTTAGGTGAGGTAGGCAGGGTTTAGGTGAGGTAGGTAGGGTTTAGGTGA